CACCTGCCTGGTGCCCAGTTGCCAGCTGGGGTTAAACCACAACACAGGGGTATGGCCATGCGGGCAGAATTCATCCCTGTCTGGCCTCTGGATGCAGCTGGTGGTAGGCCATGGCTGTGCTGCCATGTGCTCCAGCACGTGCCTTAAGCAAACTTAATGATTCAATTCTATTCTATTTTTTTTACAGTCATTGGTGATTCCCTCCTGTGCAGAATGGAAGCACTCATTTGCAGACCAGACCTTGTTTTCAGGGGCGTTTCCTGCCTCCCTGGGGCCAAATTAAGGATGTCACCACAAGACCGAAAAGCCTAGTACAACTTTCAGACTACTATCCATTCCTGCTCTTTCACGTGGGTACTAATGATATCGCAACAAAAAGTCTGAGGTTGATCAGAAGAGATTTCGGAACCCTGGAAAGAATGCTAAAAAACTCAGGAGCACAAATAGTGTTTTCCTCAATCTTCCCAGCAATGGGGGCAAACTTGGGAAGAAACAAGGTGAGCCCAGGATATTGAGACTTGGCTCCAGGACTGGTGTGTCTGCTAAAACTTTGGGGTTTTAAACCATGGAAGAGCCTTCAAGACACAAGGTATGCTGGGCCCCAACAGGATCCACCTATCCCAATGGGGAAAACATGTCTTTGGGCATAAGCTGGCGAGACTCATTGAGAGACCTTTAAACTAGAATCGATGGGGGCAGGGGATACCAACAGGACTGCAGTAGGTAAGCCAAGGTTTGGCATGGCATCGCCTGAGGGTGGCAATTTTAGTGGGAACACTTACGCCGTTCCTGGGAGCACAGAGGGCTCAGGAGCATATCTGAAATGCTTGTACACCAACACACAGAGTATGAGAAAGGAACAGGATGAACTGAAAGTGTTGGTGGGTTCCCAGAGCTACGACAGAATTGGTGTTAGTGAGACTTGGTGGAATGAGTCCCACGATTGGAGTGCTGGGATGGAGGGCTACAGGCTGCTCCAGAGGGATAGGCAGGGCAGGTGAGGTGGAGGTGTTGCACTATAGGTAAGGGAGAGGTTTGATTGTGCCACCCTTACAGTTAGTGATGATGTCATTGAGAGCCTCTGGGTGAAGATTAGGGGGATGGAAAACAAAGGAGATATTGTAGTGGGTGTCTACTACTGATCACCCAGCCAGGATGTAAGCACTGATGAGTTATTCTATAGGTGATTAGGAGAAAATTCTGGATCAGTAGCTCTTGTTCTTATGGGAGACTTCAACTTCCCAGACATCAACTGGGAATATCATACTGCTGACAAGTAGTTCTTGGAAATTCTTGAAGTCTGTAGGAGATGAGATAACTTCTTGTCACAAGTACTCAGTGAGCCAACTAGGCAAGATGTCCTCCTAGACTTGCTGTTTGTGAATAGAGCAGGACTCTTGGGAGATGTGATGGTAGGTGGCTGTCTTAGCTACAGTGATCATGAAATGGTTGAGTTTAGAATTTTCAGTGTAATGGGAAAAAAGGACAGCAGGGTAGCTACCCTGGACTTCACGAGAGCAAACTTCAAGTTATTCAGGGAGCTAATTAGCAGAGTACCCTGGGAGTCTGCTTTTGAGGGCAAAAGTGCTGCTCAGTCTTTAAGAACTACCTTTTAGAAGCACAGGAAAAAGCAATTCACTGTGTCTTAAGTCAAACAACTGGGGCAAGCTTGACTGTACAGGGAACTCCTCATGGAGCTCAAGAGGA